CCCCAAAACCCCAAAACCCCATAGAGCAATTATATACTCATTATAAGATATATGAAGTCTATAAAATATTTAAAATTATATTTAAAGATATATTTATCGCATTTTATTATAATTTTATTAAAAGAGAAATAACTCTATAAATCCTATGAGAACCATAATTACCATTGCAGTTGCACTATTTATCGGTGCTATCTCGGCTAGAGATTACCAAAGAGCTCCAACAAGAGCGGGTGAAACTCTCAGCCAAAGTCTCTAGAAGCTAGTAAACCAAAACGGTATCTATGAACCCCTTGGTATGAAATACTAAGGTCCTGATGGCCTCAGTGTTGAGAGAAGCATCTGGAACAAGATGGGAGATGGCTTCAAGAAAGCTGGTAAAGGTATTGAAAAGGGAGCTGAGTATGCTGCTCCATATGCTATTCCAGCCCTTGAACTAGCTGGTGAATTTGGAGGTCTCTCCGTTGAGGATCCAATGATCTATGATGGATATTTCCCACAAGTCGAGACCAGCTTCTTCAAGAAGATTGGACACGGCCTTAAGAAAGCTGAGCCTTATATTGTTCCAGCTATTAAAATCGCTGGTGAACTCGGCGGTCTCTCAGTCGAAGAACCATACATGACCGATGAGGTCTATAGATACTACCCACGTGTCGAGACTAGCTTCTTCAAGAAGATTGGTCACGGTCTTAAAAAAGCTGAACCATACATTGTACCTGCTATTAAAATCGCTGGAGAACTCGGAGGTCTCTCAGTTGAAGAGCCAATGGGTTATTACGATACATATATCTACCCAAGTGTTGAGAGAAGCATCTTTAACAAAATCGGAGATGGCTTCAAGAAAGCTGGCAAAGGTATTGAAAAGGGAGCTGGGTATGTTGCTCCTTATGCTATTCCTGCTCTTGAACTTGCTGGAGAATTCGGCGGTCTCTCTGTAGAAGAGCCACTATTCCTTGATGGATACTACCCAGAGGTTGAGAGAAGTATTTTCAACAAAATTGGAGATGGCTTCAAGAAAGCTGGCAAAGGTATTGAATATGGAGCTAAGAAAGCTGCACCATACGCTATTCCTGCTCTCGAAATTGCTGGTACCATTGCTCTTGGAGGACTCTCAGTTGAGGAGCCAAACGTCCAACAAGTCTTCTATGGTCCTAACTATTATCCATACCCATATCCATATCCATATTATGATTGATAAGTAAGTAAATCTAATCATACAAATAAATGAATAACTTAATTCATTAATGTCATTCATAAACCATATCTCTTCTATATATTTCTAGCCTTATGGGGTTTTGGGGTTTTGGGGTTTTGGGGTTTTGGGGTTTTGGGG